GAGTGGGCTCTGTGCTGCTCACAGCAGCTTGGTGCAAGAGCGGGATATGAACAAGGGCAGTCTCATTGCACCGGGACTTTTCTGCGGTCTTGTACCTGCTGCTTCCACTGCCTGCAGCAGTTTTGAGAACAATTCTTCCTCTGGAGTCAGTGTTGTGTCTGACTCCTATGATTCTATGGAAACTCCACCAACTCGACAGCACCTCATACCCAAGGAGGTGTTAGTTCCGCTCTCAATGAAATCACCATCTTATTCAAACTTCTTGACTGCCAAGAAGCCAGATGAAGACAGAAACTGCCAGAGCTCAGCCGCAGGCTGCAGTGGTGCGCAGAAAGGTCTCGACTTTAATCTGCCGGAGGGCAGGGTACACGGTGGCGACCTCATGTTGTATTTTGGAGGGAATCTCAAAAATGCACTTGACGGTATCTGAAATGGTGACTTTCAAGTTGTAGATTCAATTTAGGAATTAGGGACCATTTCCATCATGGAATTGTGCATAAAGCTTTGTGCTCTGCTTGTTCAATAACTTGTGTATAGTTGGGTGTTGATTATTAGGCTCCTATTGTTTGTAGTGCTTCGTCCGTACAATGGCTTTCATTATTCAATGTAAGGTTGCAACCAATGCTGTGAAAAAATATTCAATTTAGCAAAACTAATCCATATCTGCACACATCTGCTCATTTTATAGAATCGGTTATTATGTCCAAACCAGTAATGACAGGTTATATGTCTACATCCGTTTGAGGGTATGAAGAAATAAAAGAAGCGCGAGAGTTAAAGGGGTGGGTATGAATTGGATAATCTATGTCTAATTCAATGGATTGAATTTAAAATCTTTATCCACTTAATTGGACATAACTGGTTTCAAGTCATTAATTAGTAGTTTTTTAAAATCGGTTTTAACCAAGTTACATATTAAAAAATAAATTAATTAGTGGTCATGTTTCAACACCCCCCGAAAGGCCTTATGAATAAGCCACCCACCATTAGCTCAAGGCCCAAACAAGTGGCAGAATAAAAGTGATGATATAATAAACCAAAAAAAGGCAATAAATTGGTCTGGTCAGAAAATTTTTAGGGTAGCAAAGTACATATAATGAATTGCATTTTATTGAAAACATCTACAGCATACTTATAGTTTTGGTAAGTTGTACGTACTATTACTGAGACAACAGTCAAGTAGCATGCGTTTCTCATTCAACGTCAATAAGAAATAAATTGTGTCTTCGGTATTTGATAGCTTAACCGTATCAATATCTTGCAGTTTGGATCCCAGAAAGAAGAGTATCGTTCCACGAAAAGCAAATCTGGGGTAAGCATTCAAAAGAGTATTTCGTTCCTACATATCACCGATTCACCGTGTCCGTTAGTTTTATAAACACGAAATCAGCAATTGAGTATTTCTTCTCGAGTTATGTAGGAACAGGTAGTGGAATCATCTATTCCAGCAGGATCAAGCACGCATGGTCCAAGCTGTTTCGTTGTGCAGATAATTTAATTATTATTCAATGAGGTATGAGTTTCATGTCCAACATTAGACTAACTTTGGAGCTGCTCTAAACTCCCTCCAGCCCTAAATTACCCAAAAAAATTGAGGAATACGACGACTGAATTATGAGTATCCTAGGGTAGCTTTGTTTATCAGCCATACACAAGAATGTAGTTTTATCCAAACAATTTCCGCTAGCAAGCATGCTACGTGATAATATTAATATCTGACCCACGTGAAGACATGAGATAATCATCTCAATTCTCATCTCTACCCAAACCAATCAAAGAGAAAGAGGCACGTGCACCAGAAGCAAAGCCTTGTAGACTGTAGTGAAAAAAAAAAAGGGTCTGATCAATGATCATTAACCCAAAACCTTATCCAAACTCCAATGACTAGCATCACACTTTCCCTCCCATGCACAAACCCCTCCTTCCTCTCTTCTCCAAAACGTTTCAGATTCAAACTCAATCCCCAAATCCAATCCTCCGCACAACTCTCCCCCTCGCCTCCCCAAACCGGCGTCATCGTCATCGGCGCCGGCCTAGCGGGCCTCGCCGCCGCCACCCACCTAAACTCCCGCAACATCCCCTTCCTCCTCCTGGAAGCCTCCGACGCGGTGGGCGGCCGCGTCCGCACCGACATTGTGGACGGCTTCCTCCTGGACCGCGGCTTCCAAATCTTCATCACCGCCTATCCAGAAGCCCAAAAGCTCCTCAACTACAAAACCCTAAACCTCCAAAAGTTCTACTCCGGAGCCCAAATCTTCTACGACGGCCAATTCCACACCGTCGCCGATCCCCTTCGCCACTTCATCGACTCCGCCAAATCCCTCACCAACCCAATCGGAACCCCCCTCGACAAGCTCCTAATCGGATCCACCCGAATCCGCGTCCTGGCCAAATCCGACGAACAAATCCTCACCGCAGAGGAGCTCCCCACCCTCCACCTTCTCAAGAACCTAGGCTTCTCCGACTCCATCATCGCCACATTCTTCCGCCCCTTCTTCGGCGGAATCTTCTTCGACCCCACCCTCCAAACCTCGTCGCGCCTCTTCGACTTCATCTTCAAGTGCCTCGCCCTCGGCGACAACGCTCTCCCCGCCAATGGCATCTCCGCCATCCCGGAGCAGCTCGCGGCGGCGCTGCCCCCCGGTTCGATCCTCCTCAACTCCAAGGCCCTCTCCCTCTCCCTCGACCCCCGCGCCTCCGGCTCGCCGCTCGTCAGGATGCAAAACGGCGACGTTTTCAAGAGCGAGCTGGGCGTCATCGTCGCGGTTGAAGAGCCCGCGGCGGTTAAGCTTCTCGCGGGAAGGACCGGTTTGGTCGCTAAAAAACCGGTTCGTAGCACTGTTTGTTTGTATTTCACCGCGAACCGGGAGCAGATTCCGGTTAATGAGCCGGTTCTGTTTTTGAACGGGTCGGGTAAGGGGATTGTGAATAACATGTTCTTTGCCACCAATGTGGCCCCGTCGTATGGGCCTCCCGATAAGGCCCTTGTGTCGGTATCATTGATTGGGCTTTTTGAGGGCGTGTCTGATGATGAGTTAGTGGGTCGAGTGGTTGAGGAGCTTTCGGGTTGGTTTGGGGGGAAATTCGTTAGGGAGTGGAAGCATTTGAGGACTTATCGGATCGGGTTTGCACAGCCCAATCAGTGCCCACCCACGGATCTGAAGAAAAACCCGAGAGTTGAGTCGGGTTTGTATGTGTGTGGTGATTATTTGACCTCTGCCACGTTTGATGGTGCTTTGGTCTCTGGAAGGAGGGCTGCAGAATCCCTATTGAAGGATATAGCCCTCACTCCGGCTTAAACTATTTATTTAAATTTAATTATTTTTACTCTTTGTTATATCACTCAATTACATAAATTATCTTATATTTTGCAAGAAAAAATTATCTTATATATATATATATATATTTATCTTCTCATTTTCTCTCTTTCTTATACTTGAGTAGGGATGACAAAAATACCTGCACCCGCGAGTATCTGTAGATAAAACCCGTTACGGATAATAAATAGATAGCTTAATTAGGTACCTTCAGATAATAGGGACGGATAAGTTTTTACTCGTTTATAAACGGGGTGGGGGTGGGTATGATGATATCCATACCCGCGGATATCCGTTTAATAATATTTCTTAAATATCTTAATTATCCTTGTACCACATAACCCTAAAACTATACTCTCTCATCTTATTTTCTTACAAAAGTGATGTTGATGAAGTTACCAACATGTGTTAAGTATGTTATAGAATTATGTCAGATATAATTTGATTGATTTTCTAGCTTTGAGTGGACCAATAAAATTTATGTATTGTAAGTTATTTACTTTCATTTGAAATTATGAGATTGAATTATTATAGCTTTGTGATGAGACTTTAACTTACTTGTGAGATTAATGTATATTAAGTTATTAATTATCTTTCATTTTTATTATTATTTCAACAAAATTAACGTTAAATACAAGTTCAAAATTAACAATAAATTTTTATTTTTTAATATTTTAATGATATTAAATATAAACTTAAAATTATTTATAATAAATTTTTTAATTTATTAAAAGATTTATAAATATTTATGAATATCTATGGATATTCGTGAGTATTTAAAAAATTTATGAATATTCACTTAATAGATATCTATGCAGATATAAAATAAGTATAAGACTAATTTTTATCTAATAAGATCCCACGCGTCCCATTGTCATCCCTATACTTGGTATAAGTACATTTAATTGTATTATTTATTTATTACAAATCTCTTTTGTGCAGATATATTTGTAGTACTTTCCGTATTAATGAGCGGGAATCACGGAGATATTTTTTCAAATGAGTATGATTCATGTAATTATAAAAATTCTAAAACTTATTTTTTCCGGATAAAGTATGCGATAAAGAAAATCTTTCCTCTTTATAGAAATTCCTATGATGCAATGGAAACTTATCATCAAGGATAAGTAGGGACCGTAACGGGGTTGGAATCAGAGGAAAATAAATAAATAAATAACAAACTAACAAATATAAACCAAATTGACAAGTGTGGCAAAAACTAAAATAATTTATTTGAGCAAGACGTTGTTTTTTCAATTAGAGAAACATGTTGTTTATGACACAAATCTCATTGAGAATTGCTAGCAGCAATCCAAAAGGGAATGTAACAGATTTTTTTTTTTTATAGAGTGCATGTTTGGTTATATATCCAAAACGTGATTCAGAATAAAAATTATGTTTAAAATATAAAAACTATAATTAATACTTTCCATTTTAATGTGATTTATTATGTTGAAAATCTGAACCAAACACACACAAAATTGATGTAACATTAATCAAATTAAAGAGTTGTATTACTTTAATGATTTTTTTTATTTAAGAAAGAAAAATACAGGTAAAAATAAGAAAGAAAAATACAGGTATAAACAAGAAAGAAAAGAAAACCAGTAAAAAGTGAGACATTTTTTTAGCTTGTACAAAATTAAAAGGAAAGAAATTCTACAACACAAATATTCATATAAATAATGACATAATATTATAATTTTTTTTTGCTAAGCCATAATATTCTAATTATAAAAGGAGATGCATAATAAATAAGAATATTTTGTTTTTAACTCATTAATTTTTGTCTTATTCACTTTCCAAAATAAGAAGAAAAAATGTTTGAACAAGTCTTACAATTTTTTCCTTTCTTCTTTGTGAGAGGGTACATCTTTTAACAAATATGTATTTTTTTTTCTTTCTTTTATTTTCAACTCTTTTTCTTATGTTTTAAACAGACCAAGTGTCTATTTAAATATGGTAAGAAATAGATTTTTTTTTTTCATTTTAGAAACGCACATTTTTTTTCTAAATGTGTTTCGGAGTTGCGTTTTTATCACAATTGACAAAATTGAATTTGAAGTTTGGGCAGCGCTTAACTATAGGGAGGGCATGTGATGTGAGTGAGTGCCTTTCTTGGCTTCGTTGACTTCAATTACGTTGACTAACTAATACTAATACTAATACTAATACTAAGTGCACCTCCAGCGGGAAGTGCTTTGCGTGTCTTAGTTATAAGTAACGGTGCTTACAAGAAATTTTCGTTGGAGTAAATCTACGTGACAGCAACGATTCTTAAATTTTTCTCTTTGTTGCTTGCAGAATCAATGGTTCTTAACCCTGTAAAATTGAAAATGAAGAGATTTGATTGGATGAGGGTCATCCAATAATTTGATAAAACTTCTCTCATATGTTATTATTAAAATTTTAATATTCTTTTTATTATGTAACTTTTTTTATTATTAAAATTTTTTTATTATGAAAATTATTTTAATTATTAGTTATTCATATTTATATATTATTCATAATAATTAATTTTATAAAAATTTATCATAAAATATCATGTGAGGTGTCAAAAAGTGTAATATGAGTTGTAAAAAAGTTAAGGTACTTATAAACAATTTTCATTAGAACAAAAATTATAAAAATATAATATGAATTGCTTATAAGTGACGTGGCAATGTAGGACCCATTTAAAGTGGTGGAGATGCCATTGTAAATGCTCTAAATGGAGGGAGTAATTAAGTAAGTACGTAATTATGATAATTAAGAATACAGTTAAGAGTTAGTAAATAACTAAATATGCAGAGAGAGAAGAGACACGTGAATGACGCATCCAATGATGGGAGGGCAGGGCGCAACAAAGATTGAGTTTTCACTTTGAGGGGTAAAATCGTAAAGAACATTACAAGAGAAAATAAAAGTCCCTCAGTCTGGTGTTATCTGAATTGAGAAAAGAGCGCGGAAATGGAAACTAAGGAGGAGGAGGAGCAGCAGCGCGAGTGGGGCCTCTACGAAGCCTACAACGAGCTCCACGCGCTGGCCCAGGACCTCCACACGCCCTTCGACGCCCCCGCGGTTCTCGTCGTGGGCCACCAAACCGACGGCAAGAGCGCCCTCGTCGAGGCCCTAATGGGCTTTCAGTTCAACCACGTGGGCGGCGGCACCAAGACCCGCAGGCCCATCACCCTCCACATGAAATACGACCCACATTGCGACTCCCCTCTCTGCCACCTCGTCTCCGACACCGACCCCTCCCTCTCTCACCAAAAATCCCTCCCTCAAATCCAGGTCACAACTCACAAACTCTCAATTCAACTTCAATTCACACCCTAACTAACACCAACACTCCATTATCGCAGGCATATATTGAAGCAGAAAACGCCAGGTTGGAGCAGGACACAAGCCAATTCTCCGCAAACGAAATCATCATCAAAGTCCAGTACAAGTACTGCCCCAACCTCACCATCATCGACACTCCCGGCCTCATCGCGCCCGCTCCCGGCCGCAAAAACAGGGCCCTCCAGGCCCAGGCCCGCGCCGTCGAGTCCCTGGTGCGGGCCAAGATGCAGCACAAGGAGTTCATCATTCTCTGCCTGGAGGATTGCAGCGACTGGAGCAACGCCACCACCAGGCGCGTCGTCATGCAGGTCGATCCCGAGTTGGCCAGGACTGTCATCGTCTCCACCAAGCTCGACACCAGGATTCCGCAGTTCGCGCGGCCTTCCGATGTTGAGGTTTTCCTTTCGCCGCCTCCGTCTACGCTCGACGGCTGCATTCTTGGGGATTCTCCCTTCTTCACGTCCGTGCCTTCTGGAAGAGTTGGTTCTGGAACTGGTTATCTCTATGCCTCCAATGATGAGTTTAAACAGGTTTTAGAATAAACCCCCACTTCTCCCTTCATAGTTTCATTTCCTTCGTTTATTTACTCTTACTTATGGATGCAGGCAGTGTGCTTCAGGGAGATTGAAGATGTTGCATCTTTGGAGGAGAAGTTGGGCAGGGCTTTGTCAAAGCAGGAAAGGAGTAGGATAGGTGTGAGCAAGCTTCGGTTGTTTCTGGAAGAATTGCTGCAAAAGAGGTTTTCACACTCAACACATTATAGTTTGTTTTTCTTGTTCGTCTGCTTATTTTTTAATATTCCATGGATGCGTCCTTAATAATGATCCTGCTAGGTATATAAATAACGTACCATTGATCATTCCTCTTCTTGAGAAGGAGTACCGGAGTGTGACAAGGAAATTGAGTGATATAGATCTAGAATTGAGGTATGTATTGAAGTTAAAAATACTTTTGGTGTACATGATCTAATTGGGAATGGAAAAGGATGATATATATATTAGCTTTTTTTTATTATTATTAGTTTTAATTTATAACTGTCATCTATCTCTGTTTTCCTTTTATCACTTGTTTTATTCTTTCTTCACATTATATACAGCACACTTGATGAGGCCAAACTGAAGGAGAAAGGAAGAGCCTTCCATGATATGTTCTTGACCAAGGTTTCTTTGTCATATGTTCAATTTTCTTCTCTGTATCTGACCTTCTTTATTGGGTAAATTTCATATGTTGGTGGATATTAGAAGTCCTACAAAGCGAAGGGGTATTTAATCTGGGATGTTTAGCTTGTGCAGTAGAATTGTTTATCTGTCCAATATTCTGTCTGCTGCTTGAATTCATACATAGTGCTCAAACCTTGAAGACGTACGTTTATTATTTCCTCCCTCACTTGCATATTTTCTATTGTTCAGTTGTCTTTGTTGCTTAAAGGGACAGTTGTTGCGCCTCCTGATAAGTTTGGTAAATCACCTATTCACCTTAGCTCTTTTTTATGGACAAGCCTATTGAACAATAAATAATACACAATAATTGAAAAGCAAGCTTACTATGTTTGGCTATCTCCTTGACCTTGGAAATGGTCATGGCCGTGGTTAAATTCCTTGACTTATTATGTTTGTTGTTTCAGGTGAAACACTGCAAGATGAGCGAATAAATGGAGGAGCATTTGTTGGTGCTGATAGTGTTCAATTCCCTCACA